CTAATTTTTTCAGAATTTTTAAACTTCGAGAAACACGAAAAATATAAAAAAAACGAAAACGGACGGCGCCGCGAGTGATCGAGGGTTAATTCAATTGGCGCAAAAAAATAGAATTTCCCAATGCGACTCCAATAGAATTCCTTACAGGAAAATTCCGCAGACCCTCGAATGTTCACGTATAAGAGAATAACGCTGACTCTCAGACAATTCCAAGGACGACGGAAATCCCAACCGCTGCGCCACGCGACTCCGAGACAAGTTCAATGTCGAGTGCGGGGAGTCGCCGTTGGAAAATCGATCATCATCATGAGAATTACAACATTTCTACGATATAATAGTAAAAACGATGACGGGCAGAAATCAATAACAAGTGGAAGTGTTTGGCTGTGCAGGTGGAAATGATTCGGCAGAATGCATCGACGAGGAAAAAATAAATAAATTATTCCTTTGTAATCAAATAATTATTCCCGAGTTTGAATTAAAATATTTTCCACGTAAAACCATTGATGTTTCGTCGGTGATAACGATATCGATGGGATGTCGGTGTTTCTTACTGAAATCATCTGCATTTTTCATTTGCAAATATCGTTGTTGCTCGTTACAATAATTTTTTTTATTGAGCAACAACATTTCTTTGAGAGATAAAAATGTGTTTTATACTAATAAGAGTCTTCACACCGCGGTAGACGCAGATATAAAGAGATGATAATCACTCGAGTTGACATTGAACTATCAGTGACGAGCTGAGGCGGAGAGATCCGATTATGAAATATTATCTGTGGTTTCTATTTCTGAGCTGACGGGAACAAAACATCAATGCATGCGATTCTTACATCATCAAATATTCACAAGCAATGTATGATGCTTGATAACATGAGATTAACCGCAAAAGGACGAACGTAACGTATTCCAGTAGTGGAAGGGTAGAACAATAAATAAATTGATAAACTTGAATAGACTTGGAATTTTTCAAAGACTTGAAAAAAAATTGAGGAAAATGCAATATTAAATACAGACAATTGAATTGGAGAAATTGAATTATTATTTTTTTCTTGGAATCTTGCAATCAGGACTTAACGAAATTGTTCGAGGACTTGAAAAAAATTGAGGAAATTTACAATTAAATATAGAAAATTAAATTGAAAAAATTGAATTATTCAATTGAATTGGAAAGCGTATAGATAAATTGATAAATAAATAGAATCATCTTTTATGTCTCAAAATCTAGATTTAACAAAATCTCTCGAGGACTTTGAAAACAACTGAGGAAATGTAAAATTAAATATAGTGAATTGAAAATTTTCAATTACTTATCGTTCATTTTTTAATTGAATTTTTTCAATTAAATTAAAATTAAAGACAAAAATCGCACTTCAAGTTAATTTTTTGATTTTTATATTTATCTTGTTATCTAATAAACATAGAAAAATTTTCTTGAACATTTTTTTTTTCAGCTCTCGCATTATTTTATAATAAAATCTTTGACATGAAAAAAATGAATGAATGAATAAATGAATGAATAAAACGAATAAAAATAAAAAACCTAAAGTTTCATTTCCCGCATTCTATTCTCTCACTGCACTATTGATTTCCAAAATCCCAATTTTCACATCCCATTAGCGTCTACACGACTAGATCTACACAAATTGACAACAAAAAATTTTCTGTAAACAATTCCCTCACCTTTATTACCTGTCTCCTCCCGAATTTCGCGAATTCCGCTAATTTCCAAAATATTCACAAAACAAAATTTCAACTTTTCTATTTCTTCCTCCACCACTTAATGACTCTAATTACGCCCTAATTGAATCAATTACCGCCTCATAATCGCTCTCACCATCCTGAGCCTCCTCTCGTAATCCCACACAATATTTACTCATCAATTCAGTGAGAATAATAATCGAAAAAAAAATGCAGCAGTGAAAAATGCAAAATGCAGTACCTGCTCTCCCGATACGACAGCGCTGCCGACACCTGGCAGGTACCCCCGTTTCACTTTGCCGCGAATATTTTTTTAGAATCCCCAGCGGCCTCTGATGGAGCCTCCAGGAACTAGGGAGGACTGAGGATCCGTGATCTGTAATCAACGACTGATTAAATCGAAAATAAAAACATTGACATCAAACCGCGCCGATTTAATTCTCCTCCGCTGCATTATTCGTATTTTTCTCTAGTCTACTTGATCCAATGCAATGATCCATTCTCTCGTTTTGTGTTCATGAATAACACTCGATTATCTAGAGCAATTTATTTAAAAAAATATGGCATAAAATATAACGACAGATGGAAAAAATTTCATATAAAAAACTAGGAAATTCGCTGGAGAATTCTATTGGATTTCTATCGAATTTTCTGTTAGTTTTCGGACGATTCTATTGAAAAATTCAGCAGCTCATCTGTGCGTTTTGTCAGTAGAGGTGTTGAATGGAAAATACGCTATAGAAAAAATCAATAGAGGCCGATTATTTAAGCAAATGCAATTTATTCTGTTCAAATATTTTCTATAGAAATTCATTGGTTCGAATTTTTCAGTTTTTTGTTTGAGTTTTGTAATGAAAAGAGACAGAAAATAGAGCGGAAAGACTTGCAAAATTCATGCCGAGGAATTTCTTATAGAAAATGTTTCAATAGACAAAGCTATAGAGAGATGAACTCCTGTTTTTTCTGTCAAATAGTTTCTATCGGATATTTTCTATTAAACAAGCACGCAATAAAGTTGTGAAATTCTTCTATAGAATCGGCCAAAAACTAATAGAATTTTCAATAAAAGTTTAATGGAAATGCAATAGAATTGTTTATTGAATTCTATAGAAAATTCTATTGGATGTCTCTTTTTATAGAAATTACTCGGCTCGAATTTCCAAGTTTGTTTGACTCTTGTAATGAAAGGAGAAGAAAAATAGAGTGGAAAAGACAAAGGGAATTCAGGTCGAGAAATTCCTATAGAAAATATTCAATAGAAAATATGCTATAGAAAAAATCATTAGAATCCGATGTTTTCATACAAATTATGCTATTGAGATATTTTTTATAGAAAATTCTTGACTAGGGATTCCTATAGACCGTGTCTCAATAGAAAAATTTTCACAAAAAGATGAAATTCTATTGGAATTCTACCAAACAAGCCTTTTTCATGCCTGATTTTTCATTCACTCTATAGAAAAAAGTCCATAGTGGCATAATGTGCTTTTTTTGGAGGAAAATATAAAAAACAAATAAAAATACTAAAAATTAAAAATTTATGCACAATTTTAATTCATTTTAAAGAACAAAAAAATCATCTATAGATGTTATAGATTATTTTAACATTGTTTTCCGCACATTCGCCATCATACGCGCATTTTCCGCATATTATGTTATGTTTTTACACAATGCATCCTCATGAATATCGTCCGTGCAATTCATATTATACACAATTTTTAATTCATTCTATAGAAAAAGTCTATAGATATCAATGTTTCCATAAGAATTCTAACGCATAATCTCCTCTTCTTGGATTTAACTATAAAAAACGAGTAAAAATACAACAAAATGCAAAATTTATGCACAAAAATTTCTAAAGAAAGCGAATTTCCCCATTAACATTCTTTTCCATACATCCGCCACCATATGCGCATTTTCCGTACATATTATGTTGCGTTTTTCCACAACGCATCGTCGCGAATATAGTCCGTGGAATCCATTTGATGCGCAATTTTCAATTCATTTTATAGGAAAAAGTCTAGATAAAAGCATAGATTAATTACATTATAATTGGATTATAGATATCAATTTTTCCATAAGAATTCTAGCGCATAATCTCCTCTTCTTGGATTTAACTATAAAAAACGAGTAAAAATACAACAAAATGGAAAATTTGTGCACAAAAATTTCTAAAGAAAGCGAATTTCCCCATTAACATTTTTTTCCATACATTCGCCACCATATGCGCATTTTCCGTACATATGTTGCGTTTTTCCACAACGCATCGTCGCGAATATAGTCCGTGGAATCCATTTGATGCGCAATTTTCAATTCATTTTATAGGAAAAAGTCTAGATAAAAGCATAGATTAATTACATTATAATTGGATTACAGATATCAATTTTTCCATAAGAATTCTAGCGCATAATCTCCTCTTCTTGGATTTAACTATAAAAAACGAGTAAAAATACAACAAAATGGAAAATTTGTGCACAAAAATTTCTAAAGAAAGCGAATTTCCCCATTAACATTTTTTTCCATACATCCGCCACCATATGCGCATTTTCCGTACATATTATGTTGCGTTTTTCCACAACGCATCGTCGGGAATATAGTCCGTGGAATCCATTTGATGCGTAATTTTCAATTCATTTTATAGGAAAAAGTCTAGATAAAAGCATAGATTAATTACATTATAATTGGATTATAGATATCAATTTTTCCATAAGAATTCTAGCGCATAATCTCCTCTTCTTGGATTTAACTATAAAAAACGAGTAAAAATACAACAAAATGCAAAATTTATGCACAAAAATTTCTAAAGAAAGCGAATTTCCCCATTACCATTCTTTTCCATACATCCGCCACCATATGCGCATTTTCCGTACATATTATGTTGCGTTTTTCCACAATGCATCGTCACGAATATAGTCCGTGGAATCCATTTGATGCGCAATTTTCAATTCATTTTATAGGAAAAAGTCTAGATAAAAGCATAGATTAATTACATTATAATTGGATTATAGATATCAATTTTTCCATAAGAATTCTAGCGCATAATCTCCTCTTCTTGGATTTAACTATAAAAAATAAGTAAAAATACAACAAAATGCAAAATTTATGCACAAAAATTTCTAAAGAAAGCGAATTTTCCCATTAATATTCTTTTCCATACATCGGCCACCATATGCGCATTTTCCGTACATATTATGTTACGTTTTTCCACAATGCATCGTCACGAATATAGTCCGTGGAAGTGGCGGTGGGTTTCGCCGCGGTCACTCCGCGCTACTCGCATCAGTCGCTGTAAACTTACGTGCGCGGACGCAACTACTCGCAATGTACCGGTGTTATATCTGATAAAACGTGAGGATAAAACTAGTGCTGGAGTTACACCAATTATCTAATACTGGATTTTACGAATACAATAGAAAGGTAATGAAAACATGTGCATGCGCCTCAGGCGGAAACGAAAAATTGAATTTTTCAACTTTTCATTCGCGAACAACTGCGTCTGTTGTGAACAACTATTCGATTTTATTTCAAATTCGAAATAGTGACATTCTCTTTTAGTTTTTGAGACGAAAAAATTCTCTTCGTCGCGAGTCTTTTTGTTTTTTCATTCCGCAACGCGAACGATTACGAATCTCATTGTTCGTTCTCGTTAATTGTCTCCCCCCAAACATTTATTGTTCACCGATGATGACAAAGGAAACAAATGTCCACGTAATGCAACAAAAAGCCGCTGTAGATTCGTGGAGGAGTGAATTGTTGGGGTCACATGTTGCTGCCTTTTAATCCTCAAGGTCTTGCGCGAGAATAACTATTGCATTTTTATTTTGCCCGTTGTTTGATTGCACTGCTTATAACAGGAGATCGATAGTTTATCGACGACGGAAATTGGATTGTGGATTTCAACTATCTGGTGGTCTGTTTATAGCGGGAAGTATCGCCGTCTGCTCTGCCATTTCCTGGTGCATTAATATTTATATTGATGCATGAATTAAAGATTTTTTTTTATTATATTTTCTTTTATTTATTGAATTGATTTTTTTTTATCGGGAGTATGTGACGTTTTCGGGAGTGAACGTCATTGGGGATTATTTTTAATAGTGAATATAATACACAGTTGAATTATCATGATATTTTGGAGATGACATTTAAGAACGAGTGAATAAAAAAAAAAGTTTCGAGTTCTGGGAATTGAATAATTTTTTTTTAGGAAATCTTGTTCCGAAATTAATTGGATTTAAAATAAGAAAGGATCGGAGATGATTTAACATGAATTGAATCGACGGGTCAGATTATTTATAGTAATAATATGCATTCATATTTTTCCTGAATTCAAGATTTTTTATTATATTTTTTTTTATTTTTTGGATTTAATTTTTTTTATCCTGAAAATTGAGGATTCAGTGATGTTTTCAGGAGTGAACGTCATTGGGGATTATTTTTAATAGTGAATATAATACAGAGTTGAATTATCATGATATTTTGGAGATGACATTTAAGAACGAGTGAATAGAAAAAAAAGTTTCGAGTTCTGGGAATTGAATAATTTTTTTTTAGGAAATCTTGTTCCGAAATTAATTGGCTTTAAAATAAGAAAGGATCGGAGATGATTTAACATGAATTGAATCGACGGGTCAGATTATTTATAGTAATAATATGCATTCATATTTTTCCTGAATTCAAGATTTTTTTAGTATTTTTTTTTATTTTTTGGATTTAATTTTTTTTATCCTGAAAATTGAGGATTCAATTATGTTTTCAGGAGTGAACGTCATTGGGGATTATTTTTAATAGTGAATATAATACAGAGTTGAATTATCATAATATTTTGGAGATGACATTTAAAAACGAGTGAATAGAAAAAAAAGTTTCGAGTTCTGGGAATAGAATAGAATTTTTGAGGAAATCTTGTTCCGAAATTAATAGTCTTTAAAATAAGGACGCGTTCAGAATTAATTCAACATTAATTGATTCGAGGGATCAGATTATTTATAATAATGATATGCATTAATATTTTTCCTAAATTGAAGACTTTTTTATTATATTTTCTTTTATTTCTTGAATTGAATTGTTTTTTTTTATCGCGAAAATTGAAGATTCAATTATATTTTCAGGAGTGAACGTCATTGGAAATTATTTTTAATAGTGAATATAATATGGAATTAAATTATCATGATATTTTGGAGATAATATTTGGGAACGAGTAGCCAAAGAGAAAAAAGATTTTTGTTTTCGGAACTGAATTAATTATTTTAAGGAACCCTCGTTCTGAAAATAATTCTTTTTAGAACAGGAAAAGTTTCAGAATGGATTCAACATTAATCGAATTAACTGAATCGAAAGAAATCTTTGAAATTTTCTCAAAAAATAAATTTCCCATATTTTTCGGATTTTCTCAAACCCTCAAATTTCATATTTCAACAGCAAAGCTTTCTCCCCCCGAGAACAAATATAACACATCAGACTTTTGCAATGACTCACGCAGGTAATTCTACCTGCGGTAGAGGTGACAACAACCTGTCGACGATGGCTGCACATACGTCCACTACATCCGACCGTTCAAATAAACTCCCCCAAGGTTGAAAATATTCGTGGAACGATCAATACACCGTCACTTCCGTTTTCATGTATGGAACAGTGACCACCAGTAGCCCCCGAAGTCCCAATTGCCGGTTTTTCCCCATCTGTTTTGAAATAAAATATTCTGTCCTCAATTTTTTCTCTCTCCATTTCGCCACAATCGTTTCACTTCTCGTGTTCGAATCGCGAATAATCGCGAAATGTTGTTAAAACGTGTTTTCGAATTTCATTGTTCGGAGTATTATTTAATTACTCGATGTTAATCCGGGGGCACTGGTTTGTGGAAACGAGAGCGTCCAGGTATAAATGAATAAATTATGTAATCGGGGGAATTGATAGCCGTAGGAGAGCGCTGAGGCATTGGGAAGGGCTTCGCCAGAAATGGTTTTGCAATAAATGCGCAAGTGGATATAACGTTCGCGTTGCGGCTGAGTCACTCGGCGATTTTTTTTTCTTTCCGTTTTATTTTCTAACGATAAGACCCACCGTATATGGCTTTCTCTTCGGTTTCTATGCTGTTTTATCGCGCTACGAAGACAGGTTTGAGGGAAATGGATAGGTTTATGATGAAGTTGGCGGAAAATTTCAGGAACTAGAGTCAATAAATATACCAATCGGGCCTTGTAGTTTTTTTTTTCACAAAAAATGTATTTCTTCTTCATGAAATGCATTCATTGTACAGTTCTATTGCAGAAATTTTTGCGGTTGTATTGTCCTTTGCAGAATGCATGGGCAATATCTCGAATGATCGATTTTTCCACTTTGAACAAATAATATTAATATCCAAATACAAAATTTCTGACGTGAATAAAAAAAAGCGGTGACTCAATTTTATAAAATATACATAATATAAAAAATATAATATTTTATAAAATCTACATAATTTTTATACATAAAATATATAAAAATATATAATATATATATTTTTAAAAAATAAATTGGGCCAATTTAAGTAATTTTTTCACATATTCTTCAAAATATAAATTTTAAATTTAGAATCACAACCATCTGAGGGATAGTCACGTCTTTTTATGCTTTTTTATGCGTTTCTTTGTAATTATGTAAATTTTCAGGCCGACGTTAGGCTGTTGAGGCTGTATTTTTCTATTTTTCTGGTAAATGAGGGTTGATCCTGTTACTTTATATTATCTTTTGTTTAATTTTAAGCTGATTGCACTTGAACTATTAATTTTTTATTATTTTATCTGTAATATTATTCTATGTATAATGGCCTCCCCCCTGCCATAGGGTTTAACTCCCTTTAAATGCAGTAAATGAATCAAAAATCTAAATCTATAAATTTTCCCGTGTGGGGAGACAAAAATCCTCTCTCTTTTCCCAAATCGCATGAAAAATATTCCACTCGAGTCGAGACAAGCCAGGATGCCGAAGCCTCGGACTAACGGTTCTCTTTTTATTTCCCTGAAAATAAAATCCCTCTCATACCTCAGACTAGTTTTGAGATTCCGTTCAGACGAGTTGCGGTGACTCATCCGTGAACGTATTGCCAGGATGCCTCGAAGGTGCTTCGGCGGGGGATATCTTGATCCCAAAGTGTGGATAAAATGAGGGGCATTCCACCGCACCGCTTCATTGAATCTCTTTGTTCCTCGCATCGACGCAGCTTTCACCGAGTTTTCGTGATTCATTCGCATAAAAAAAAAACAATGGACTCATCGATATAATTTCCCGCGACTCTTTTCTTTGATCACTTGATAACAGGTGCATTGTTAGGAAAGCCATAAAAGCGCGTGGAAATGTTTGCCGAGGGAGATAACTTTTCGGGGCGACGCTATTTGCTATTTATCATGTGACCGATTTTCCTACTTCGCATTCAGTTTTCGCGATAGTTAAAAATGCGGTGGATTATTCTGAAAACCTGATTTTATAATGGAGTTGGCGGGAGAGATATATTACAGTAGCTCTACCCGTACGGTAAATTCAAAGTTTATTGAAAACTGCAAAAAAATTGCAGAAAACTCGATTAGATTGGGAATCCTAATTTTAGAAATTCCTCGGCTCAAATTTTCCAAGTTTTTTCGTTTGTTATTTTTTTAATAATAAAAAAAAATGGATGAAAAAAAAGCTCATGATTTTTTTATTCATGTAGAGAAATTTAAAAAACTAATAGAAAATTAATACGATTTTTAATAGAAATCCCATAGAATTTCCTATCGAATTCACCAGAATTTTCCATGAAATTCTTTCGTGTGAGAATATATGACATCATATTATATAAATAAATATAATAATATATTGACATTGTCCATCATTCAATTAATTACTTAAAAATAAAAAAATAATGCAAATGAGAATTCTAAACAAGTCTCATGACTCCCGCCTCTCCCCCGCACCGCTAATTTCCATCGTTTTTTAAACTCCAGATCAACTACCAAAAAATGTCAGAATACTGTGAATACATGTGGGATCCAACCCGCGGTCACGGAAGCACAGCGCTAGCCCGAAGTATCTACCAGGAAGAGGCTCGTCTCGATTTGAAAGACAAAAAGCTCGCTATAAAAACAGTACGAGCGATTCTCCGAGAAATGCCCGGTGTAGGTAAGCACTTTGTGTCGACGTAAAATTAATATCCCCAGCACGTGCATGAATTTTCAAATGTGTATATCCTGCCTCCCGTACGTGAAGCCTTTACCATTATTCTTATGTGTATAATAATGTGTTATCATCATTACCATGCGCTCAGACTTGAAGCAGTGTAACGACGAATACATAACGCGCTTCCTGTTGGCCCGGAAGTACCGGACTGAGCAGGCCGCTGCCCTGATTGGAGCTTATCAGGCGCAGGTGGCACATCGTCAAGATATTTTTGGAAATCTCACTGCCAGGGATCCCGCACTGCAGAGGGCTCTCAGGGCGGGAATTCCGGGGGTTCTTCCTGCTCGTGATAAGTGAGAATTGTGATTTTCTTCGATGAACCGAGAGAATTTAATAAAATTGTTTTATTTGAAAATTTTGTATTCGTAAAATCCAAAATTTCGGATTTTTTGTGTCAGGATAACTAATTTTGTCCTCAGGAATAAAAAAAATCAATGTTGGCTGCCAACGTTGGGCCAATGTCGGGCCAATGTTGGCCGCCAATGTTACGCCAGTATTGGACCAATATTTGGTCAGTGTTGACTGTCAACGTCGCGACAATGTGGCGGCCAACATTGCGCCATTATTGGACCGACGTTGGGTCAGTGTTGGCTGCCAACGGTCTGCCAATATTGCGCCAACGTTGTGTCAATGTTGGCTGCTAACGTACGGCCAATGTTGGCTGCCAACACCGGACCAGTTTTGGCGGCTGATGTTGGGGCAATGTTGGGTGCCAACATTGGGCCAACCTTGGGCCAGTGTTGGCGGCCAACGTCGAGATAATGTTGGCAGTCAACGTTGGGTGAATGTTGGCTGCCAACGTTGGGGTAATATGCAATTCAATGAATCATTGAATTCAATAATTGTATTCAATGAATTGAATACAGCATCATAGAAATTTCACTTGGAAGTAAATTGCTAATTTATTAGCAAAAATATATTGATCATATTGTGACAGAAGCAATTTTCTTTATTGGAGATTGACAAAATTATATATTTATTCCAATGAAATGTTTTATGTAATTAATAAAAATGCCCAACAATTTTTATGGAAAGAACCCCAATAACTCACGCAGAAAAATTAAAATCGATCGAGTTTTTTATCTCCAACATCTGTTATAAAATCACACGGAAGAGGTAAATCAGAAATTACTTCTGATCGAAATTCTCTGATTCAAATACTGTTCAATTTCAAATAGTTCTACCTCTCGGAATGGATGATTGCACAGTCTCAGTAGAAAATTATTATCCGCTTCCGGATTAATACAACTTCCGCCCATAAAATTCCCCTCATCCCTCCAGTAATAAATTCCCCACATTTTCTGAAGTAAAAATTTTATAAAATTCAATGAATTCATCCCAAGAATTACTCAACATCCGCGACTCCTCGATTTAATTTCTAATAAAATGTTCTAGAAAAGGGAGGTGTGTTCTTGTAATGCTGGCTTCCCAATGGGACCCCATAGCAGTGCCAGCTCTGTCAGTTCAACGTGCAATTTTCCTAGTTCTCGAAACTCTTATTCAAGACCCACGTAATCAGGTAATTGGCATCGTGAAGCGAGAAAACCCGTTCTCTTCATAATTAGAAAATTCATGGGGGAAATTGTTTTATTACTCAGCAATGTGGATTTGTGATTGTGATCGACTGGTGTAACTTCACACTGCGTCAGGGAAGTGCGCTTGGTGCGGCAGCTCTTCGTAATTTGATAGCAGCACTTCGGGGACGGTTTCCGGCGAGATTCAAGGGTATTCATTTTCTCTCGGCTCCGCTCTATGTTCAAGCCACACTGGCCTTGGTGAAGCCCTTTCTCGATGAAAAAACACGTCACAAGGTGAATTTATTGATATTAGCGCAGCCGGGTTTAATTAATTGGGATGAAACTCATTCGAATAATTTAGTTGGGGAGTATGGAGAGGAATTGGGAATTAATCTGAAGAGTATTTCGTCATTATTATTGGTCAAATACTTGAGGAATAATTAGGTTTAAAAATAAATGTTAGGGAACTCTTTTGAAGGGAAGGAATTTATGTTTGCATTTAAGGTTTCTTGTACATCTTAAATATTCTTCTTTATTATTCAAGAAAAATAAATAAATACTATGTGTTGCTTCATTCTCTACCCGAAGAGGAATGATGAATTTGAATTAGATAAAACTCTTTATTTGAAATTCTTCTGTTGGGTTGAGAATATTTTTATTATAAACTATTAAATTCTCATATTTATTCAAACGAAACGTCTATATATTTGAAGAAAAAAAACATTTACTTAATTGCAGTGGCGTTTATTTAATTCAATTGAATCATTTCTTTGAATAATCTCTGAATAATTTAATTCTGAGAATTTAAACAACCTCAGTTATTCTTTTATAAGAATGAAAACTTCAAAAACAGCCAGAAAACGACTATTTGACGCAATTCAAGCAAAAAAAAATTTTTTTTAATCGCAAAAAATCGTCGTTTAAAATTTTTTTTTAATTTTTTTAATTTTTTTTTATTTTATTTTTTTTTATTTTTTATTTTTTCATTTTTTTTTCTTATAGTTCAATTGACTACAATTCAATTGATCAGATTTGGCTGATTACACTTTTTTTTTCATTCCATTAAAATTCAGTATCACATTTTCCTTTCAGTTAATCCATTCACAAAATCTTCTCCCGTCAAAATTTCTCAATAATTTTCCACTCTACTCAATGCAAAATTATTATTCTAATCGGTACTCCCAATAATAATAAAAAGCCAATGAACAAAAAATAATAAAACTCTCTAAATTCCCTTCTTTAATGTAAAATATCTATAAAAAAATTATATATATTTATTTATATATTTATTTTACATCTGAAAAAAATTCGATTATTTTCATTTCAATTTTTTCAATGTGATAAGTAAAAATAAAATAATCGAAGTTAAGCAAAAGATTGGAATTCTTATTCCATGAGCATGACATGACTTGGCGGAATAGATCGGCGACAGAAAACGTTTTCCCAATTTTTGTATAGAAAACAAAAAATCGCCAGGAAATCAGCGTAACTGAAATAAAATCCTGGCATTCTCCTTGATTCCCAGATCTACCTCCACGGGAATAATTTGAGTACTCTCCACGAGCACCTGCCAACGGACATTCTGCCCGCAGAGCTCGGTGGAACCGGCCCCTCGTTCAACCCCGGTCTCTGGGCGGAGCCGGTCATTCATTCGGCAATGAAAGAGGCCGAGCTGGCCGCTATAAAAAAGGACAAAGACCCGGCGGATAAACAAGGAGAAATCAAAGAGAGATGCAGCGAGAGACACAATGGGGACGCAATTAGAGCCAAGGCCACCATCGAGGGAGAAAGCAAAAGCGACAGGTTGGAGATACCTCTCGACGCGATCCACAAATCCACGAATGCATCAGTAGACGAAGAGAATAACATAAATGTGGACAATCGCCGGGGAAATTTGCGGAGAGAGAAAAATAAAGTCTCCAGCGAGACCGAGAACATTCTGGACAACGACTCCAGGGTGAGAATCTATCGGGATGAGGAGGACAACGTCACCAGGAGAATCGAGTCGGAGTCCGATATCGAGTGCCTCGATCCGCCTTCTGAAACTAATTCTAATGAGTTTGAAATGATCTCGAATAATTTGGGTAGCGAGGACAGCAGGGACAATTCTTTGGACAGTCTCAGGGGCGAGAGGGTCAAGATCAAGGGCAGCAAAGACAAATTGCCCGAGGAAACGAATCTCATTACTTGATTTAATGACGTTGGGGTGGAACCAGCAATTTTTTTCAATTAATTTAAAGAGAAAACGTGTGGAAAAAATTAATAGATAAAATTGAGGTTTTTTAAGGAAAGGAGTTCTCAAAATTACACGAGAAAAATGAACATTCATTGAATTTTTTTTGTCTGAAAATAATCGTTAAAAAAACGCGTGACAAAATGCAGATTTTTAATAAAAATCATCGCATTTTTTTTAAATTCTGTAAAGTGTTTTATAAAAAACGTCGGGGTTTTTAATATTTTTTCACATTATGATTACGAAAAATAATCATAGTAGTATGAAAAAAATGGGATGAAAAAATCGAAAGATTATGTTAAATTATGGTTTCATGATAGTGTGAATGGAAAGAATCAATAAATAAAATTAAGGTTTTCTAAAGAAAGAACTTTTCAAAAAGTAATAAGAAAAATAAACAAGCATTGAATTTTTTTATCAAAAAATATTCAGTCAAAAACGTATGATAAAATTGCATTATTTTCAATAGAAATCAGCGTAAAATTTTTTTTTTAATTCAGTAAAATGTTTTATAAAAAACGTTGAGTTTTCTTACCACATATTTTTCGAATGGAAAAAATTGACGTTTTCTGAGGAAAAAACTTCTGAAAATTAACAAGAAAAATGAACATTTATTGAATATTTTTCCATTAAAAAAAAATCATTCAAAAGCGCATGGCAAAATTGCATAATTTCCAGCAGAAATCGACGCAAAAAAATATTTTTTTCAATTCAGTAAATTTTTTAATAAAAAACATTAGGTATTTCATCATATTTTTTCATATCATTATGATTATGAAAAATAGAAAATAGTGTTATGGAAAACCCTTGACTTCTTGTATTCTTCTGTGATCAAAAGCTGTTCATAAAACTGTAACTCACCCCATAAAATTCCAAGGCTTCCTTTGCATGTAATTGAAGTAGAGAAATGCGATGAGTTGCTTCATTCCAATCAGTTGATGACGCAAATATTCTGAGCATGAGTCACTTCGGGAGAAAATGTCAAACCACATTTTTTTCTGAGAATTTTTTTTATGGATTTATAATAGGGAATTTCCTCAGCTGTAAAAAGTCCTCTGACGTTAAATTTCGCGACTTCAACGTCAAATTCATGTACTATTGGGAGAAAATTATTGTAAAAAATAATAATTTTAGCCTCGAAGAGTTGCATTAATCAACATTCCATTCTATTGTTCTTCACGTGGAAATGAAATATTTTGTGTTAAATATTTCTATTGAAAACTTTTCATTTCCAATATTTTCTATAGAAATTTCTGTAGCATTTCTGTTTTATAGATTTTTCCGTAGAAATTCTATGGAACATCTATAGAAAACAGGAAGCAATAACAATCAACATTTCTATATAGAATCTATAGCAAAATCTATAGAAATATGGATGCCTATAGCAATTCTATAGACACAAAAATGAATATCAAGATCTATAGATTTTTCTATAGAAATCTCTATACAATAGGAAAGTATATAGGGTTTTTAAATTGCGAAATGGCTATAGTTTTTTCTATAGAATGCCATCTATATAAAACAAGAAGAAATTATTTAATTAATAATGCAATTATCAGAAAAAATTGTTCGAAGAGTATTTTCTCACAGTGAAAGAAGTCTTTTGACACTTCGTTTCGTTACTTCAATCAAAAATTCATGTATTACTAGAAAAAAATATATTGTAAAAAAAAATCTCAGCCTCGAAGACGTTGATCACTCAACACTCCATTCCATCGCCCCTCATCTGGGTACGATTTCCCAATAAAGAGCCAATAAAAATGAAAATAAAAGACAAACACCCGATGCTGCAATAAAAATCCTCGTAATAGATATAAAAATTGTATTTTCACATCGGCAAATTGACACTTCACACAACAAACAGTATAAATTTTATAAATACTTCAACAATGAATTTTTAGAAATAGTAGAATCTAGATAAATTTATCGAAATAAATGGTAAAAAAAATATTTATCATCACGAACATGATAAGTTAGACAGGTGGCAAAGTTTCTCTCCCCCCGGCAGAAAGCGTCTCACAAATTATCACGAAGACATGGATAAGTTTGGAATGAGTCACACACAATTTGTAAATAACTGTAATTGTGCTATCATGGTTTAACTGGTGGCATTTGCCAACCACCAAAGGCACGTTCGATCTCCTCGGCGACAGCCAGGCTCAGGTGGTCCTGATAGAGGCCAGCTACAACCTGAATGCCAATTGGTAGGCCATTGCTGAATCCCAGGGGACAGGCAGTTGCTGGAAATCCAAGGACATTGATAATTGCTGTGTAGGCGAAGTTGAAGGGTTTCAGGAGGGGCTCGTGGTGGAATGCAGCTGGGGTTGGGTGTGTTGGGTAGAGGAATACTCCATTTGTACCCAGTAAATCCTGAAAAAAAATTATATAAGAATTTCTGAATGAAAATTCTAAATTACATTTTTCTATAGAAATTTCTATAGAAATTAATATAGTGTTTTTCTGTGAAAATATATATAATTTCTGTAGAATTTTAAAATTCTATAGATTTTTTTTTGGATCTATAGAATTTCTATATTTTTTGAATCTATAGGATTTCTGTAGATTTTTTTTGAATCTATAGATTTTCTATAGATTTTTTTTGATCTATAGAATTTCTATATTTTTTGAATCTATAGAATTTCTATAACAATTTCAAATTCTATAGAAACTTGAAACTGCATCGATTCTATAGAAATTTATATAAATTAAAAATATACACTTCGTTGTAGTTTCATGATTCTATAGATTTTTTAACATCGCATTTGCTATAATCTTTTTCTATAGAACACCCTTGACATAAATTTCCAGTTTATTCAACTGAAAGTTTTCTTTCAGTGAAAGATTATTTGTATAAAATATTTTGTATTAAAGAGTTCTATTGGAAGTTTTTCATTTCCAATACTTTCTATAGAAATTTCTACAGCATTACCGTTTTATAGATTTTTCTGTAGAAATTCTATAGAAAATCGGTAGAAAACCAGAAAAAATAATAATCTACATTTCTATACAGAACCTACAAGAAAATCTATAGAAATCTGGAAGCCTATAGCAATTCTATAGACAAAAAATATCAAGATCTATAGATTTTTCTATAGAAATGTATGTGCAATAGAAAAGTATATAGGCTTTTTAAATTGCAAAATGGCTATAGTTTTTTCTATAGAATGTCGGTGGCATAAATTTCCATAGTTTACAAATACTTATCTTTTACTGACATTGATGTAAAAAAAATTTCTATAGAGATTTCTATAGACAGTCTATAGAAAACCTATAGACAGTCTATAGAAAACCTATAGACAAGCATGTCTATAGTAGTTATATTGACACGAAGAATGGATATAAAATTCTCTATAGACTCTTCTATAGAAATATACATGAAATATAAAAATCTATAAATTTTTAGACGACGAAATGACTATAGATTTTTCTATACCAAGTCGCTGGCATAAATTCCCATAGTTTATTCCCCTGAATGACAAAAATGCGAATCGAATCTATCATTATGAGTGAAATTTAATGATCAATCATTACCGAAAACTCTCTCCTAAGATCTTTACTCTCTTCCAGGAGTTGCGCTCTCTTCGTATCATTAAATCTCATGCTCAACCCCTCAAAAGCTGCCGTAGATATAGCAACGAACGTGTGGGAACCAGTGCGCGTCAACCACTTGACAAATTCCCACCAAATACTGAGGCGTCCTTTCCTGTTGGACAATTCCCAGGCGAAGTCCTTGCCCTCTGGTGATGTCATATTTGCGAACCACAGCGCTAGACCCTTCTTGAATTTCTTAATCTTTATTTTCTCGGCTTTGACATTGTGGGCTATTTCCAGGGTATAGAGCAGTTTAGACATTGCCAATTTGATGTCCTTCGAGACTGGTGACACCAGGAATTGACCGCCATCATCTTCCATGTAGTAGAACTGTTGAAATTAGAGGATTAATGGGTTGATTAGTGGAGGAGAGAAGTGGCTGAGGGAAATAGGCCAATTTAATAGTGAAGTAATGATTCGTTGAATTCAATATTGTCCCAACGGCGGCAGCCAGTGTTGGGCCAACGTTGGCAGTCAACATCGGGCCAATGTTGGCAGCCGACATTATGCCAACATTGTGCTAACATTGACAGCCGGCGGTATGCCAATGTTGGCACAATGTTGGCTTCCAACGTCGTGCCAACGTTGGCTGCCGACATTGTGCCGACATTCCCCCAACATTATATTTTTTTACCTTCCCCTGAATATTGATTTCAAAAGGAATTTTTTCAACAGATGATGCAATAAATCCTATGATCAAACTCGATGAAGATGGCATTGAGAAAAATATTTTAAATCCCAATTTGAAAATTAGAAGATAGACATTGTCATAAAAAACGTCAGAATGAAATTCTGAATATTGCCAGCTCAACGAAACTCTAGACCAACGAATGATCTTCAATAAAAACTAAAAATTGAAACGTACTTTGAGTTTTGAGAGATCAACTTTAGCATTGAGATCCAATTTCTCGGCATTTTCGCCAGCCAATATCTTCAGGATTGGTTTCAGGTCAGTGGCAAAACGACACATGGGTCCAATGGCTAATAAATCCTTTTGCTCATCAGTTTGGGCGCTGGGATACTGCCCATCATTCGAGACAACTCCTTTGGTCGGTTTGTGGCCGAATATTCCGTTGAAAAAACAGGGCATTCTGATGGAGCCACCGATGTCAGAGCCAATGCCAAACGGGACACCTGCTGCTGCCTGAATGCAGCCCTCGCCTCCAGAGGATCCTCCAACAATATGCCTATCCAATAATTCACATTATTTTCTAACAGAATTATTTAACTACATAAATTAAACAATTTCGTTCGGACTATTTTAAAAATATCCCTGAAATTGATGAGTTTTTTAAAACATTTAAATCAATTTTTTTATACAGAATAAAATGGGAACTCATCTTTTTAAAATCTATCAGTTTTAGAGAAATTCGGAGAGCAAATTTTTTTTATTTTTGTGCAAATTATTCTACAAAACTCGCTAAAACTGATAGGTACATCAAAAATTTATTTCTGAAGAGCAAAATCATCTTCAAAAGGATTTATTTATTCAACTTTAGAATTGTTTGCAAATCAAAAAATTCCGTACACATTATTTTGAAAATATCTCCAAAACGAAAGGATTTATGGAAAAACATCAGAAAATCATTTTTACAGGCCGTAAAATGCTCTACAAAAAAGATTTTCTGATATTTTCGTCTAGACCTCCTCTCTGCACAGCTATTTTCAAAATAATCCTCACGAAACGTTTTATTTTTAAACTTCGGCTATTTTATTCCCTCACCATGTGTTATAAGGATTCCTAGTAGTTCCATAAACCAAATTACTCGATTCCCACCACATTGCAAGCTCTGAAACATTGGTCGTAGCAATAACAATAGCTCCAGCTTTCTTCATCAAGGAAATTGCCTCGGCGTCACGTTCAGACCGAGTATTTCTCCTAGAGAGTAATCCAGCGGTTTGCTTCATATTTTTAACACCGATGCAATCCTGAAAAGTGAGTGAATAATTTGACAAGTCTGGAGTGAAGAGAACGTCATGAATATTCAGTTTTAGGGATGTTAATATTCTTTTGTACCTTCGTTGTGAAGGGGACTCCGAAAAATGGTTTATTTTTCTCTAGCTCTTCTACAGACGGAGCGTCTGGGGAATTCAATAATTTATCGCACTCTTTGGCCTCTTCCAGCGCCTCTTTGAACCTGTCCTCAGCTACACAATTCAGTATCGGTTGAACTGTTTCGATCCTCTCGATGTAAGCGTTCATCACGTCCACACATTTTAACTGTGATGAAATACATTTATTTGAGTTAACAAGTGGGAAATTGTTTTCGTCACGACATAGTCAATGGATTTTTGCTGAGAAATTAGCAATTTACTTCCGAATGAAATTTCCATGAAAATGTATTTTCAATTTAATTCAATATTGCCACAACGTTGGCTGCCAACATTGGCCCGACGTTGGCTACCAACATTGGCCCGACGTTGGCGGCCAACATTGGCCCAACATTGCCCCAACACAGGCTGCCAACATCGCCCCAACATTGCACCGACGTTGCGCCAACGTTGGCTGCCAACATTGCCCCAACACTGGCTGCCAACATTACCCCAACGATAAATTTATTGAAATCAATAAACAACTAAAATTTAACTGAAAATTCTATTTATTATTTTTTTTTTTAAATTGTGGTGGGAAATTTTGGAATTTTTTGGAAGGCTGAAAATATTTGATGGAGACGTTTTCTTGGGAATTTATTATCGTGAAAAATTGCATTCGTCTTTTGCCTCTTCATCTTCTCCATTAGTGAGATGAAATTGCAGATTTGAAGACATTTACAACATAGATTAATCACTTTGCATACTGGAATATTCACAAGATTCAATGAAACTCACTTTTTTCTGACGTATCATCATGGCCAATGCTTGTGTATTGTGCATCGTAATATTATTATTTATCGGCGGCATGACTTCCGGTTTGCCGGTGATTTCCGCTGCCGCGAGGAATAACCATCGCGCTATGAACTCGATAAATCGATGGATAATGGATGCGATTCTTCCCAGTGGTTTCAACATACTTTTATCCATTTTTCACTCTTCTTTTTCCCGCGGTTGACCTATTGAAACGTATAATCATGTTAATAATTCAGTGGGGAAATGGGAAATTGTTCATAAACATGAAGAGGTTGACTTTTCGTGTCAGGGGTGGAATAAAGATTTTAGTGAAGTTTCTACCATCCCTAGTCGATAAACATAATAAATTAAATCCGAGTAATTTAACTTCTTTAATTTTCCAACTAAACTGTATGAGAAAAATTTAAAAAAAAACTTCAATTATTCTCAATTTTTTGTGTTAATTTTTATTTTCAACTGAAATATTCTGTTATTGATTTTGTCATTAAGGGTTGGGTTGATCCCGGTTATTCACCATTTTTTAAATAAAAAAGTCATCACGTTGAAAAAAATATATCATTCTGAATCTAATGACGATTGAAATGAATGGATGAATGAATGAAGACTGAAATTTGAATAAATTAATTTTTTTGCGGTGTGAAATAAGAGCTACAAAAACGTCTAGAGAAAAATCTTCTCTTATATTTTCTCAACAACAAGCAACAGCTCAAAGTCAACTCTGGCTGAGGAACGGTTGGATCAGACCGCCACCGATACCGAGACAAAAAATAAAGACGCTTGGAGATAATATAAATGCAAATTGCGAAAATGTAAATATAGGCTCGTTACTATGTCCATTACTGCGCCAGTATCAATGGAGACTAGTGAATAGTGACATTAATGAAAGGCTTGGGACACACGCTGCGTAAAATAAATTTGGGAATTGAGCATGCGCGAACGGGAAGATATCAGGGGGCTAGCGCCACCTACCAAACTCAGGTGGGGGGTCCTTGTTGGGCACAATGGGCGCAATAATTTCGAAACAAGTGGATAATGGAATTGTTTATAACTATTATTGGTAATAATTTATCAATATGACGTCGAATAATTATTTTTCGACCCGGCAATAACTGGCACCTGAGGGTGGCAATAACTGGCGCATGCCGGAAGTTTTTTTATTCTTCAAATATTAATTTATTTAACCATTCATTTGGAAAAATATCAGTTGTAAATTATTTTTAAAAAATATTTACCATCTACTTCGCGCGATGGTCAGTCAAATTATGGAAGAAATATAATTATATTTGAGCCGCATTAACGATAAAAAAATATCACGAATGGCGAAACCACAAAATCCGCACGGACGAAAGCAAAACGAGGCTTATACTATTTACATAAGAATGGTGAGGTCATGAGGCAGTCTCAAATGACTCCGCGGGGATTCGTTTACCACTGGTTGACTTGTTTGATTCGTCATCAGTCCTGGAGACACTCGTCATTACGAAACATTGTTAAATTTTGTGTCGGACGGGTTGAGAAATCGGACATCTTTCACGAGTTTAAAATTATTCCGATACTTTATGGTTATTTTAACCGATTTTTTCTTTATATTCGACTGGCTGACGGGAAGATTAAATATTAATAAACAATTGACTTTTTTTTTTTTTTAATGTTAAAAGTTCGTGGAACTGTTGATGAAACGGGATATTTTTTTTCTCTTGCAATCAAATTCGTCAATTGGGTTCAATTGGTGAATTTATTTCTGAGTCGTGAGTTTAAAAAAAAGGAAAAAGTTTTCATTCTACCCCACCCTTCTAGTACTGATGATTAAATATGATCGATTGGGACAGTCTCGCTCTTCTGCATAGCATTCCATCCCGTGGGGGCAATAATACCGCCATTTCAAGGACGCATAAAGCGGAGGAAACAATACACTCATCTTATCTGGTCAGCCGAGACTGATGGAAATCTGAGAGGGGAGAGATCACCTTAAGGATATCCAAGTACTTTGGCATTTTTATTTGTTGAGGTGTTTCTCAACTTTTGTAATTAAACATCAACGCGGCCATTTAAAGCCCATTTGACTCCAGATTATCGCACATTTTCCAATTCTTTTTTAAACTTTTAAACTTCGAAGTTTAAACAATTTCTTGTTGAAACTTCGAAGATCTGAATTTAATTCTGCATTTCAAGCGTGGAAATGTAAAATAAAACAAGTGGACAATTGCAGTTTTTAGAAATGAATGCAGTTATTGTTGGTAATTAATTAGCAATTTAGTTCCGAATGTTTTTTTTTTAAATTCTTTTTTCACTATTCTCTTCTATTTTTTCATGTCACAGTACTATCAATTGAGGTGTCATCAAAATTTTGCGTATAAATTCATGAAATTCGATTGAGAAATTTAAGAAAATTAATTTAATTAATAAATAAATTAATTTATTCATTTATTTATTCATAAGGAGGACATCTAAAAGGAAGTATTTTTATATTTATATTACCCACATTTAAAAAAATTTTCTCAGGCACAAAATATTCTCAATCAAACCAAAAATTCTCGAAAAAAGTGAAATTTAACAGTTTCATTGCTTTCAACTATCAAAACGCTCCCCTCAAGCTTAAAAATGAGACCCCATCGTTAAAACCTGGATAAAACACATCACCAAGAAGATTATCATAAATAAAATCACATTACGATCTCACGAAATATTCGAAACTCCCGAACCCCATTTAAATAACAAATTTAATGACAAAAACTCCCGAAAATTTTCCAAGTCCCAAATGTTTCCACGATATACAAATAAACCCCCAATGAATTGACTTATCATGACCCAAAACAACTCCCACAATTTCCCCCGAGTAAAAAATTCCAGTCAAAAAATTCCCCAGCGTCATGCGAATTTCTTCCTCATTCCAGCGTTTTTCACCGTCAAAACGGTCCATGTCGCACCCTCGCACCATTTCCCGAGTCATCGCCAGGTGTTTTACCTCGAATGCCCGCTTATCAGTCCCCACAAAACCCCGATAAGACTCAAGCGAGTGCCGAGTGAAACCCGTGCCAATTCACCGCGAAAGTTATGCGAAAGTGGATAATCCCGCACCAGTCAGACACGATTACTCCCCCAATAATTCCGATCTCTGGCATTCGCAATTCGCTCATGTGCACGTGATGAGACAATTAACCCATTGAGTACTCACGAATAATTGTTCCGTGAGATGAACTCTCACAAATTCCTGGCGACGCTGACACAATTAATTATCACTGAGTTTTAATTTGAATTATCGCACGAAATCGGGGGAATGATGACGTAAATCATGAGAGCACGGCAGGTAGACGAGTGATTTCAAGTGATTTTCGTGAGTCCGCCGCCGACTAGACGACTCGCTACTGCGGCTTGTGGCCCTTGTGGCACTCGCCTCTGCTCGCGTTCACGTACGGCTAGAGGGGCGGTTCAATGAAGCCGCCTGTAGAGCGCACTCTGCTACAATGAAATCCTTCATTTTGTTCGCATCCGGGAATTCTCGGGCGTTCGTTTGAATGACACCATTGGAATTTAAAGATTAAGGTGTTTCGGTTGAAGTCAAAATAATGAAAAAAAAATTGGAAAATTCGGGGGAGAAATTTCTAAGTGTGCTGCATCACTTAATGTATAATGAACCGATTTTCAAACGAATTCTCATTAGTTCGCGTGAATAAAATCATTTGAATTAAAATTTTTTTAACCAGGAATTTTTTTTGTCTTAAACTTTTGTAATAAATCAATAAATTGTAAATAAACGATAGATCGATGTATCATCAATTTTTGTTGATATTGAGAGAAAATTCTCGGAATTTCATTCAAATAAAAATTTTCAACAAAAAAATTTTCAATTGTTATAAACAATTTTTTATTTTCAAAGGCGTTTATAATAAATAAATAAATCTACAATAAATTGACACGTAATGAATCGATTTAAAATCAACCCTTGAAATTCTAACAGAAAAATTTTAAATTGTTATAAACAATTTTTTATTCTCAGACTTTTATAATAAATAATTAAATAAATAAATAAATTTACAATAAATTGACGTGTAATGAATCGATTTAAAATCAACCCTTGAAATTCTAACAGAAAATTTTTAAATTGTTATAAACAATTTTTAATTCTCAGACTTTTATAATAAATAAATGAATAAATGAATTTACAATAAATTGACATGTAATGAATCGATTTAAAATCAACCCTTGAAATTCTAATAGAAAAATTTTTAATTGTTATAAACAATTTTTAATTCTCAGACTTTTATAATAAATAAATAAATAAATAAATCTACAATAAATTGACGTGCAATGGATCGATTTAAGATCATCCCTTGAAATTATAATAAAATCCTCAGAATCTCATTCGATTAAAAAATTCTATCAAAAAATCCCAAATTGTTATAAACAATTTTCCATTCTCAAAGGCTTTTATAATAAATAAATGAATAAATGTACAATAAATTCAGGTGCAATGGATCGATTTAAGATCATCCCTTGAAATTATAATAAAATTCCCAGAATTTCATTCGATTAAAAAATTCTATCAAAAAATCTCAAATTGTTATAAACAATTTTTCATTCTCAAAGGCTTGTATAATAAATAAATAAATAAATCTACAATAAATTGACGTGTAACGGATCGTCGTCATATCAACCCTTGACATTACAAAAGAATTTTTAGAATTTCATTCAAATAAAAAATTCTAACAAAAAAATCTCAAATTGTTATAAACAATGTGTCATTCTGAAAGGCTGTTACGATGAATAAACAAATAAACCTACAATAAATTAATGCATAATGCATTGATTTACGATCAACCCTTGAAATTATAAAACAAAATTCTCAGAATTCAATTCGAAAAAAAATTCTACCTAAAAAAATATTGAATTCCAAAAAATTGTTGCCATAAATAATAGTCTTTTTCAATGATTTTGTCATTTTTGAATGAAAGAAAGAGACGGCGAGATTGAAAAATGATAGAAACACCGGAGAAAAGCACAATAAGTGCACGCAACCCTGTGCAAGTGTGAGTGGCCTGCGTCAGTGGTTTAGTCTAGTGATTGAACTCACGTTCGTGTAGACGAGTCAAGGAGTCTCACCGTCAATTGGTGACCACTTGTCACTGATTAATCCACTGAAAGAGTCCGAGTTATTTTATTACCGAGCACTTGTCAGCGTGCAATCACCGACGACTCCCGTAAGTTCGAACCAAGAAAATTCTCTCTCGGGCCATGAAATTCGAGGTTATGACCCTCGATTCATATGTTATCTGGTGTTTGCGATAATTAATTTGGGGATTGCACTGTCTCGTTGTCGTTATGTAGACGAAACTTGGGGGAAACAGTGGGAAAATT